AGGTCCTGAGCAGCTCGTTTTGGGTGCCACAGCAGCGGAAGCCTTGCAAAACAGCAGCCTGTGCAACATCTGAGCACAGCCAAGAAGCTCTGGGTGACCACGGGCAGGAGCTCTGGATAAGCCACCGAGCACCAGCTCCACCTCCCTGCTCCATCCCCAGGCAGGCTGGGGGACGCCCCACCTTACCTGGGCAGCTCCTCCAGCTCGAAGAACCCATCGCTGGTTATGCCCAAGCTGGCTCCTGCAAAGCAGAGCAGTAGTTTTACCACAGAGGGGCTCTCCACAGCCCCGCAGCCGCATCATTTGCTTTCACAGCACCACTCGTGCTGTGCGGGGACTCACCAGGAACCTCGCTGTCCGGGGGCACCGAGGGGAACCCGCCCGTGGCGATGAGGATGTGAGGAGCTGTGTATTTTTTACCATTGACCTCGATGGTGGGCTCCGGATCGGCGGTGAACTTGCCGTAGCCGTGGATGATGTCAATGTGAGCCTGCGGGGGGAACAGCAGGGAGCCCCGTTGGTGCATGAGCAGCAGATATAGACAGAAGATGCACACAAGGGACTGCGTCCAGGCCAGCAGGGAATACAGGTGCCCCCACCTTGTTTAAGTTATTTTCATAGATCTCGTTCAGGCGTCTCACGTAAGCGTCGCGCTTCTCTTTAATGGTTCTGGAACAAAGTGGGAGTTTATCACGGCTGCCAGCTGACAAAGCCACTGAGCTCAGCTGAAACGCTCTATCCCCTCAGTACGTGGCAAACGAGCCACAAAATAAACCAGCCTCGAGTTACGCAGCAGGCAGGCGCCTTCCCGCTGACACCCGTGCTGCTGCCCGCCTTCCCTGCTGCGGCCGGCAGCCCCCTCCCATTTTTGGGGGAGCCGTTCCCCGAGCCCCAGCCCCTTGTCCCCCTCCAGGTAGCCGCGGGTGAAGCCACCACCACCTCACCTCCAGTTAAACCTGACGCCGGACGTCTCGAAGCCGTAGTCGGGGTGGTCGTGGATGAACTCTGCGTGCACGGCGGCGTTCCACATCACCTGCTCGCACAGAGCCAGGCCCCGCTCAGCGCCCCTGCCCCGGGACGTGCCCGTTGCGCCAGGCAGGCTGGCGAGGTTTCAGGAAAACCACAAACGCCGTGGGGCCCCCGAGGCCTGTCGCAGCAAGCGCCCGGCCTCTGCATGAAGGCAACGCGGCTCCCGCTGCCTCCCGAGCAGCCTTTTACACACGGGGTGATTAACACTGGCTGCGCTGGCTTCATGCCACCGGGATTTTATCCCAGCTGCACATGTGCCCTGCTTCCTGATGCCTTGCCTCTGCCCGGGCCAGCCCACAGGACACGGGTCTGGGTGCTCTGGTTGCTCAACACTTTCCAAGCCCTGCTTCCTCCCCGCGCCCTCCTCCCCGCCAGCTGTGCCCCAGCAATTCCTGGCATTTCCCTCAGGAGAGAAACCCCAGGCACAGGGGGCTGTGCCCGGACCCACAACAAACCCAGGGCAGGTAACACGTTATAAATGACCACGAAAGCACCCGCTCACCTTTTTTGGCACACATCCAACGTTGACCTGCGAGGAAAGAAGAGTGAGTCTTAGTGCAGCACCTAATTTCTGTGAGGTGATGCTCCAGAGAGCACCTGCACGGGGCCAGTAGCGAACACGGCACTGCTCCGTGCCCTGCCAAGCAGAGGCAGGCAGGGAGGCAGGCAGGGCAGCAGGCAGGGCAGCGCATTCCCATCCGCAGCCACGAGCGGAGCCTTGAGGCCTCGTGGTTTATTCGTAGCCCTTCACTTCCTTGAGGGAGAACACGGAAGGTGCGCGCTGCTCGCCTGTAAAGTAGCGGCTCCGAGCGGATCCACCGGGAGCTCGCCGCTCGCTGCCGCTTCCCCACATTTGGGGAGGGGGAAGCCTGAGGCTGGCGTCACCCTGACAGGGGCACCTCATCCTCCCCGCCACCCAAGTTAGCCCGTGCGAGGGATGGCGTGAGTGGGACAGCTCCCCCCACCCCACAGGGGTCCCCCGGTCCCCAACTCACGCAGGTGCCCCCCAGGCGGCGCGGCTCCACCAGGGCGACGCGGGCACCCAGCTCTGCGGCTCGGCGAGCCCCGGCCAGCCCTCCCGAGCCACCTCCCAGCACCAGCAGCTCGTAGGCGGCCGCCGCCATGGCTTGGCTCAGCTCTGCTCAGCTCAGCCCAGCGCCGCCCCCGGCCCGCCCCCCAGGAGCGCAGCACCAGAGAAGGGCGAGTTTATTGCTCGGGTACAGCGAGCGGGTGGCAAAGGGCTTCCGTGACGAGCAAGGCGGAGCGGGAGCAGAGAAACGGGAGCGACACAGAGCGGGAATCGAGCTAAAAAGGGAACGCTTTATTCCGGGTTATGACAACGTACTCCCAAAAGCAGGAATTGCTTCCTTTCTCCAGTTCGGCCCATCGTCTTTCAATAAAATAAAGAGTGGGGGGGAGGGGGTAAGAAGTTAGTGTGCATTTCCCTTAAAAATAAAACTCCAAAACGCTAATTCATGCCAGTTAAACACTAGAACTAAAAATTTACAAATAAGCATAAAAGGAGATGGAAGTGTTAGAGTTACCTTCTCTTCTCTGAACAGTCCAGAAAAAAAAAAAAAAAGACTACAAATACAGCAGGCAAACTGACTGTTGGACTGATTGGTACAGGATATATAGTGTTGTAAGGAATTCAGTCTCAAGTTGTGCTAAATGCTCTTCATCCTCAGTATGGCACATTTTGGTCCATGATAGGGATTGTAAATTGAGACGAACCCCGATTTCGTACAGAAACACGTAAATATTGTTGCTTTTTTAAAATGCCAGGTGTATTTCCTTCTACAAAGGTTAGGAGAGGTTTACAGGAAGTAGTCTGGGGTACGACGGGTAACATGAGGCTCTCCACGACGAGGTGCTGGGTCAAACTGAAGGCTGTGGAGAAGAAAAAGGGGTCACTTCCCTGCCTCCACACAAGGCAGTTTTCAATACCACAAACACAAGACTCACCCTCCTGCTGCTATCATTTTATTTTCCCAGTGGCTTCTGCATGAGGTGTCCCAGACCTCCCGCCACCCCAAATCTAAAGCTGAAGGACACATGAGGTCCTAAAACAAATGACCAGCAGGAGGCAAGCTCAGCCATCAGTAGAAAAGCTACTCACAGAGTGAACATCACCAGGCAGCCCACTGCTGCTTTCACAGGAGGCCAGCCAAATTCAGAATCTCACCAACCTTTAACAAGGTTAGTGCTAACAAATAAAAAAAAAAAGAAAAAAGACAAAGGTCCAAAGTTTCAGAGCCAGAAAAGAGAGAAAAAGAAGCACCTGAGAAAAGCTTTTAAGAGCCCAACTTGCTACTTTTTTTTTTTTTCCACCAATACCTTCTTGCAGGAAGAGCACACCCTGTTAAAACCAGAGTGGTTTAAGCTTGCTTTTCATGAAAGAACCCCCTTGGAAAGGATCAGACTTTGCTCACAGCCCACAGTGGTTAGGTAGGAAGAGAGAACAGCTCAAGCCAGGTTACTCACAAGGAATATTTTAAAGTGTCATCTAGTTCCATGATAGCAGCCTGGTTCCCACAACGGTAACAGTAATTGGGCGCACTGAAAATGGTAACCACGTTTCGGTCGTGGCACCAGTTATAACCCTGCCAGAGAAAGAGAAGAGAGGTCTCTGTTAAACCTCCACCCTCAGTCCATCTGGATTTCCTCTTACCACCTGAAATGTTTTGAGGCATTTGTGAAACACTGTTTTTTCCATGTGTTTTCAACAAACTTGACTTTCATCTTAAAATTCCATTTCCAAAAAGCACTCCTCAGCACGAACAAGCTGCGTTTACCTGGATTTAACAGTTTCATCCATTCAGAGAGAAGATAGCTGTGTGCCACTTGTGGATTTATTCATTTTGCACGCAAGTTACGGCTCATACAAGAAGGAAAGCTAGAGATTTTTAGATAAGCCCTCAGGCTTTGTTCACCACAAATGAGAATTTGCTGGCTCACCTGCAAGGGACACGGCTACCTCCAGGATCTGCTTGAACTGGATTTAAAAATAAGCCTGCTCCACTGACCCACCTGGCATTTTTCCACCAAGACATACCAGAATAGCCTATCAACAGCCAAAATTAGGGCTTAATCCCTGCCATATCTGAGTGCTGTGTGTTACAGGACAGTGTGTTTAAAATACCAGCAGTCTAAGTAGAGCAGTCAGTGTGTAAGGAGATTATTGCTTCCACAAATGGGGTATGGCGGGGTCTCTTCGGCAATGTGTTCGCAGAAGGGGAGGGAGAACCCCCCCTATTTACACAGCAGGTCAAAGCTCATCGGTTTACATTGCTTGTTGCCTTCACATGATTAAAATCCCTCTTAGGTGTTTACCTGCTTAGCCTTCAGATGTCAGCTTATGCAAACCCATCAGCAGATCTCACAAGATGGATAAGAATTTTCATCTACCTTCATTTTTTATCTTTGCCTACCAGAAAGTGCTTGCCCTACCTCCATGACGAGTTGATGAGCACGGGAAACCAGTGTAAGACCATTGGCATGGTTAAATGTTTCGGAAATGTCTTGCCCAAATGTGTAGCCAGCACCACGTGGAGATATACCCCAGCCACCACGATCATCTGGATCCGACCATAACAGATCACACATTGGACCCTTGAAAGAGATAAGCTTCTTCGTTAGCTTTCCTTTTGCTAGCAAGATGGTTATAAAAACACACTTGTAAAACAGTTTATTTACAGTAAAAAGACTGCCTGCATGTTCTTCTCTGCACAAGCCACACACGTTTATCTGACATACCTCACATCATCACACTCACTGAATCAGACAACATCCTCTCACACGACAGGAATATGCACACAGCTGAGAAAGGAGCCCGTGCTACCAGAAAACCATTCCACCTCCTCCTCCAAGCACACCGTTTACCATCTCAGAGCTGCAGAGGCATGGAGAGCAGATCTGATACTCGCTCCTGACTCGTGGTGTAATAAAGGCCACATGAGAAGGTACGTGAGTCCGAGGATGCACAAAGGGTTCGTTAATGCCAGCCACTTTGCAATAAATTAAAGGAATGGAAATGACCCACAGGAGGTTGTGAACTGTTCAAGAGATTGATGGTAAATCTTGAGCAGCCTCTCTGGCAGTGTACTAAGCATTTCTTTTCCTCTCCTGAGCTGTTGATTGTTGGACTTTACAAATTCAGAAGTACCCTGGAATACATCTAACAGGCACAAATTAAGCTCAGGGGCTTTTCTTGCTGAGCTATTCAGAAGCTGTGGGGCAGAAATAAGTCCCCAGTCCTTACCCAAGCCCGCCGCTGTCTCCGACCCACTGAACCCAGCTCTGTGGTAGGGATCACACATGGAGGTGCTCAGGAAAGTCAGATTTCAGCACACATATGCAGCATAAGACTATGGAAGCTCCGGAACAAGAAAACGATCATTTTAGCTCTCTACAGTCAGAAGCCCCAGCAGGCAGCCTCCTAATTCTGGGAGTAATTTAAACAGCTTATTTCAGGTTTTTTGAAGGCTTAGGCAGACCTTGCGGCATTGTTCTTGCTCCTGTACCCACAACTTCTCAGGATGAGTAATGTTGCTTTTTTTTTTTTTTTTTTTAAATCAGAGAGTAAATAAGACCATTTGCAAGCTCCAACCACCCAGACAACACAGTTATTTGCAAGCCTAGGAGCTCAGAAGGTGCTTCCTTTGGTCCAGCTGGCACCCCCTGGCTGCTCCATGTACATCAGCATATCCCACAGGCCCCATCCGACTTTGTCAGGTCCCCAGAAAAACAGGGTAACAACAAACAAGGTGAAACAACACAGGAAGAGCTGGGTGGGAAGGAGGGGTGGTGACATGACACAGTTTCACATGGCAGTGGTTGGTTCACAAGGAAGTCTGCAATGAGGCTGAAGGCAGCAGGCACTTTCCCTTGCCAATACAACTCTGAGTCAGCATGACAGTCGAGAAAATCTGTGTTTCTGCAAAAAAACAGCTGTGAAAACCCCACAGCTCTCCTTTTACAGACTGCTACAATCAAAGCATATTGACTTGGGTGTGTTTTGCCCAAATGAATGTTCATCTGCTCTAGCTCTTATGGAGGCAATAATCTGCTGTGTAACAGCGTCTCACTGTGCAAATGGATTTCCACATGACTACGTATTTGCATTTCCAGCAAACATATCTAAAATTACAATGGATCTCCTTTCCTGTTACCTCATGTGGAACTTCCTGCAGGCGGTCCAGAGCCCTGATATGATCCAGTGTATCTATGGATGGAGAGAGGCCACCGTGGAGACAGAATATCTACGGCAGGAAAAAAAGGAATAATCCGTTCAGTGCATCCGTGCTGTGAAGCCTCATCTCAGAAATAGCTGGTTTTAACTTTATCATTCTTTTGCAATTACAGTGGCCTCACCCTCGCAGCAGGGAAACCAGATTTAATTCCCACAGATGGAAACAAAACCAAAAGGGTGCACATTGCATACAAATATCAGAGCTACAGAGATAACATGCCTTCAGTTTCAAGACTAGCTTGACTCATAGCAATACCTCGACTCACACAGCACATCACAAGATGACTCCCAGTTGTCAGGGAGTCCTTTCAGATAAACCCTACCTGCATTCCTTTAGCAGCAGGTGCCAAGGCGTTGCTGCTCCATCAACCTGTGTTACTACCATACCAAATTCTTCCCCAAATCCACAGTAAATCCACTGGCTTTAAAATAATTCCAGACACATGCTAAGAGAGCTTGTTTGAGACTGTTTGTGTACAGGTCAGACCACACAGCCTGTGCTGCACTAATGTGAGAGAAATCTCAAATAATTTTCTTCAGACAGGACCGTCTGTGAAGCTATTTTATTCACGATTGCAATGGCGGGCGTCCTGTCAGTCAGGAGCACATTTTAGTAAACAAATCATAACCTTTTATTCCCTATTATCCAACGCCTGATCACCTCCCATTTCCTCATTGGCAGAGTACTACAGGTTCACAAGCTACTTGATGCTCCTCTATACCATGCATGTACAATTTTTCTTTTTTCAGCCCTTTAATTTCTCCTTTCTGATATTTTGAGAACTTGTGATCTTTGTTTTACTGTTCTCACACCACTCATCCTGTTTTTCTCAAGCTTCTACCTTATTTTGGAACAGTGAGGCCTTCTACTGTCTACTTATCTACTTAGCATTTCTCTTTACTATGACTACACAACTGCCATGGAATACAGAAAATTTGTTCTCTACTGCAAAAACACAGCTTTGTTCCTCACACTACAAAATGGGCAGTTTTCCTTATTCAAGGCACAAAAGCTTACCTGGCCATCTACTAGAGCTGTAAGCGGGAGATAATCAAACAGATCTGTGAAATACTTCCAGACATTGGCATTGCCATACTTTCGCAGACATTCATCGTAAAAGCCATACACCTGTGTAATTTGTCTGCTTTCGTGGTTTCCCCTCAGTATCGTAATGCGTTTTGGGTAACGCACCTATTGACAACAACAAAAAAATAACACAACCAGCTTTTAACACAAGAATTGGATGACGAGTATGGAAAGAAATACTAAGAAGAGGTTTTGAGTAGCAGGTAAGCACTGAGCTCTGTTACATAAAACGTTTTCCATTAACACATTCAACTGGCATCCATTGAGCTCCAGCAAACCACAATGTCAATGAGGGGAGCAATTCTTCCACATCTCCCCAAAACCACAAGCTTGTCCAAGGTTACCATAAAAAACGCTATCCAGTCATACCTTTAATGCTACTAGGAGAGTCACTGTTTCCACCGAGTAGTAGCCTCTGTCCACGTAGTCTCCCATGAACAGGTAATTTGTGTCTGGCGACTTCCCACCGATTCGAAAGAGTTCCATAAGATCGTGGAATTGGCCGTGGACATCCCCACAGACGGTGACCGGGCAGCGTACCTCTTGCACATTTGATTCTTTCGTAAGAATTTCTTTAGCCTAGCAAGGAAAAAAAGAATATACAGAGCAAAAGCATAGGAAGCTCTATCACAGGCAGGTGCAGAAGTTAATCCACTGCATTTGCATGGGAAATTCAATTTCCCTCTGGTGGCTCCCTTCCAGATGACCACCGGAAAAGCAGCTTGTTGAGTAAGCAAAGACAAAGGGCACGTTACAAATCACTGCACAAGATGAGCAATTGTGCTCCTTCGAGGCCAGGTCATGTAGATTTTATTGTTTATTGGCACACTGAGGTACAAAGTCAAAGAAATACGTTTTCTTCTTTCTCAGCCTGAAATTAAGGAGTGTGAACTTCAAGGCAAGTACTGCATATGACTTCCATCACTGACGGGGTTCATCCAAAAATCCTCTCCAATCGTTTCTGAAGACTAATTGTCTTCTGAACACAGCAAGATGAAGCGTTATTCCAGTAACTTCCATCAGCATCACAGGCAGACAGCACCCTGAACACAACTCTTTTTTTAGAAACATACCAGTCCTGTGACAGATTTCTCCATCTACACCTTCAAGAGAGCTCAGGTCAGCTCATTTCAACCACGTGAGCTACAGCAGTGCTCAGCACTCTCGTCTGACTGCCAACATCAAGCACTGCTCAGCCTCACGATGCCTAGAAGTTTTTACCTCGAGAACCACAGCTGAATCACTGGCCAGCTCCCATCCTGTCAGCACGGGTTCAGTGTGAGAGCTGTGTGAAGACAGGTCAGTCAATAATCTTGCTGTCTGGGCAGAAATACCAGAGGAGACCATGCAGATCACCACCCAAGCAGCTATTATGTATTTTTTTTGAGCAACTTGATTTGCAAAAGCATACATAAAGCTAGATGCTATCTTATCCCTGCACTTGTTGTAAAACCATGACCCCCTAGGCGTCCTCGAGATGCCAGCTGACTTACCACGACGTGCTCATGCTCGGGCTCCCTCCTGCCACCCCTCAGGCTGGCTACCACCCTGGCTGCTCAGCCGATCGCTCTCCATCCCACACAGCCGCCTGGAACCCAACGCGTCGCTGCCTTCGCTGGCAGCACAGCAGCAGGCTCCCGCAGCTCCTCTGCCAGCACTGACAGCTGCTCCTCACTGCCCTCCTCCTCTGGCATCCCTCACGCTTCCCCCCGTCGCTGCACACCCAGAAACCCAGCGTGCTGTCCCAGGGCCAGGATTTCGCAGAGGCAGGTCTGCGCCATGGAAACACTGCGAGCAGCAGTGCCCCAGCACCCCCAAAAACTCCATCTCCGCTGAGAGGAGCTGATGTCTTCTTGCTGAAGCCACCGAGGAAAGTAAGTGTTCCTGAAGTTACCTTTGCTACCCTGGCACAGAACCTCACAGCATAAGCGAGAGGCACTTCTCTAGCCCAGGGGGCTTTCTGCCTGCCAGGCTTGCCATCCTCTTCCGAGCACAACAGTTTAACAAATTTTTCTGACAGCAGGTCATATACAAGTGGAAGAGCAAACTCAGAGGCAATTGAAACCTACGGAGCTACCATCAGCTTCCCCAGCCACAACCAGCTGGCAACAAAATGACCACAGATGGAGGGAAGGCATCCCTGGATTTAGTCATCTCTTTCCCTGCATCCAGCTAAATTACACGGCTGTAATTAGCAGATCTGCATTACCTTATTACGGTTACCAAATACCACGTTTGTTTTGCTGCCTCCAGGCTCATCAGCTGATGTAGATCAGAGCTCCAGGCACAAGGGAGGCACAAGGAGCACCCGCAGGCAGGCTCCCTCAGATCTGGAGCAGAGGGATGAGCGTGCAGAACAGTCACCTGCAGGCAATGATCGGACCGTTCCCCAAGTCCCTGCACTCAGGCTGATGTGGGTCCCACCAGCCGCTACCAGGAAGGAGCTGATTACTGAGGACATCCCCCACGAGCTCCCCAAGCACACCTGTCCTCACACTGTTGCTCTTCACAGCCAGCTGCCTAGCCTCCTCTAAGGAAAGTGTATATTCACAAAGAGTCACTACATCCCAGGCAGTCAAGGGCTAGAGCAGCACCCAGCATGCCACCTGCATGGAAGGTAACCCAAGGGATGTGACCCTGACCCTCAAAAGCACCCTGCACGCACAGCTGGTGAGGTGGAGTTTACCTTGCAGCTCTACCAGGACTGGAAACCGCTTAATGTGTTGCAGCCCTACTGGAATTCTCCCTGTTCACATCTTTAAAAGCACCTTCAACGCCTCCCGAGAGCTTCTACCCTCTGTGAGAGAAGGATACAAAACACAGTCACAAAACATTTGCTCAGTGTGTTCAGACATATGTTGCACGAAGCAGGAGACGGGGTTTCACCACAAACTGGAGTGAACTTCACCACAAAAGGTGTTAGGGGTTTTCTGCCTTTTCCTATCACGCGTGCTGCTCCTTTCCCCGCTGCGTAAGAGCAAGCAGCCTTCCTTGAGGCTTCTGGGAACGAGATGCGGGTCACAACACAGACACAAAGCACACTCACCAGTGTCTCAACCCACACACATCCCAACCACACAGAGGTAAAGCAGCACGCAGGGAGCAGAGAAGAGCTCCTCTCGCACAGTACTGCGTGGAACAGGCTCCCGTTAAATGTGTTTTAGGAAGGTGGGCTAGCACAACTCCTGAAACGTTGGTTACTAGGAGCATCTAGAAGTTTCCCTTCAGGGCAGAGGAGGAGCTGTTAGCTGAAGAGCAGCAGCTCCTTAAGCTGCCTACCAGCTGTTACTGGTTAGCCCGTTTTAGCTTACTCTGTGGACGTACACACGCATGAAAAATGAAGTTTGTCATTTTAATGCTGCAGAGATGGTTCAAATCAGGCTTGGGAACTGAGCTGACCACATGAGATCGTCCTCACGTGACTGTCTAAGGCAGAACAAGACCTTTAAAATCTTAAGCATCGTTAAAAACATCCCAGAAAAGCTGCAATTAATCAGCGCGCTCTGCTCGCACATTTCACCATGCAGGGCTAAGACTACAGCAAAAAGGCTTAAAATAATAAAAGCACATTACAGAGCAAGGAAAGGAAGAAGCTGATGCGAGGAGAGCTGCCCTGCTCGACTGTTGTTTACTGACTTCCGATGGCTGTTAAGTAATTATTAAAGTCATATTTTAGCTATTTTGTTTTAGACAACGGCGATTAACACATCGACTTCCTAAGCGTGTTGCCTTTGTTTTGGATGGAAAACACCCCCCAGGTCACAATGAAAAGGAGGAGCTTTTAGCTATTCTTATCAAGTACGCCTCCATTAAGCACAACATTTACA